AACTATAGTTTTGGCAAGTCGGTTAGGACATCTACTTTGTGCATGACACAAATCATTTTTCCAACAATTGTTTACAGACAGATTATTTCACTTTTAATTCACTGTTTCACAATTCTAGTGGGTCAGAAGTTTACATTCATTAAGTTGACTGTGCCTTTAAACAGCTTGGAAAAGTCCAGAAAATGATGTCATGGCTTTAGAAGCTTCTGATAGGCTAATTGACATCATTTGAGTCAATTGGAGGTGTACCTGTGGATGTATTTCAAGGCCTACCTTCAAACTCAGTGCCTCTTTGCTTGACATCATGGGAAAATCAAAAGAAATCAGCTAAGACCTCAGAAAAAATATTGTAGACCTCCACAAGTCTGGTTCATCCTTGGGAGCAATTTCCAAACGCCTGAAGGTACCACGTTCATCTGTACAAACAATAGTATGCAAGTCTAAACACCATGGGACCACGCAGCCGTCATACCGGTCAGGAAGGAGACGCGTTCTGTCTCCTAGAGATTAACGTACTTTAGTGCGAAAAGTGCAAATCAATCCCAGAACAACAGCAAAGGACCTTGTGAAGATGCTGGAGGAAACAGGTACAAAAGTATCTATATCCACAGTAAAAACAAGTCCTATATCGACATTACCTGAAAGGCCGCTCAGCAAGGAAGAAGCCACTGCTCCAAAACCGCCATAAAAAAGCCAGAGTACGGTTTGCAACTGCACATGGGGACAAAGATCGTACTTTTTGGAGAAATGTCCTCTGGTCTGATGAAACAAATATAGACCTGTTTGGCCATAATGACCATTGTTATGTTTGGAGGAAAAAGAGGGATGCTTGCAAGCCGAAGAACACCATCCCAACCGTGAAGCATGGGGGTGGCAGCTTCATGCTGTGGGGGTGCTTTGCTGCAGGAGGGACTGGTGCACTTCACAAAATAGATGGCATCATGAGGAAGGAAAATTATGTGGATATATTGAAGCAACATCTCAAGACATCAGTCAGGAAGTTACAGCTTGGTCGCAAATGGGTCTTCCAAGTGGACAATGATCCCAAGCATACTTCCAAAGTTATGGCAAAATGGCTTAAGGACAACAAAGTCAAGGTATTGGAGTGGCCATCACAAAGCCCTGACCTCAATCCTATAGAACATTTGTAGGCAGAACTGAAAAAGTGTGTGCGAGCAAGGAGGCCTACAAACCTGACTCAGTTACACCAGCTCTGTCAGGAGGAATGGGCCAAAATTCACCCAACTTATTGTGGGAAGCTTGTGGAAGGCTACCCGAAACGTTTGACCCAAGTTAAACAATTTAAAGGCAATGCTACCAAATACTAATTGAGTGTATGTAAACTTCTGACCCACTGGGAATGTGATGAAATAAATAAAAGCTGAAATAAATCATTCTCTCTACTATTATTCTGACATTTCACATTCTTAAAATAAAGTGGTGATCCTAACTGACCTAAGACAGGGAATTTTTACTAGGATTAAATGTCAGGAATTGTTAAAAACTGAGGTTAAACGTATTTGGCTAAGGTGTATGTAAACTTCCGACTTCAACTGTACCTCCACCTACCTGTACATACACACAGGATAATTTGAAACACAGGCAATGATTGATAAGAAAAAATATAAGGTGACAGGTAATTGGCGGGGGGAGTCAAAGGGACAAAAAGAATGAAGGGGTTTCTACTCAGTGTTCTTCAGAAGAAGGTGTGTTGATGGGTCTGAACACGCCTCTCTGAGTCAGCAGAGAGAGGGGTAGAAAGAGAGGGAGAGTGTGATAGGGGGTTGGAGGAAAGACAGGTAGAGAAAGAGAGAGAGTTAGGACAGGTAGAGAGAGAGAGAGAGACAGTGAAAGTTATGTAGAGAGGTAGGACAGAGTGAGAGAGTGGGAATTGGCAGGCACTCTGTCCTCGATACTAGGGATGGGTGTGGTGTGATTTAGGTTTTGTGGTTTTTGGGTGAGTTTTAGGTGTGTCTGTGCTTCAACATAACCTCCCAGGGCTCACTCATCTCAGCTCACCTGATGAGGCAGGATGTGACAGGTGGGGTGTAGATAATAGTGGTTGTCCCTCTATCGTGAGACTGGGGCGTAACCCCTAAGGCGTGGTCTGCTGGAAGTCTGATGAACGACCGGTTTCATCACACTACCATGGGAACAACTTCGAGAGATTTAAATCAAAGAGTGTCACTATAAAAATGCTAATCACACAGTTTTTCTCATCAACGCACACACACTAGGAGACTCATTAGATGCCCATTACAAGCCCTCATGTCTCATTCTGTCTGACATTTAGAGATGAGTGATGTGATGTGTGACCTGAGGGCCTACTCCTCCAACACCACACCTGATTTAGCCCAAGTATACACACGCTACAATCACACACACACACACACACACACACACACACACACACACACACACACACACACACACACACACACACACACACACACACACACACACACACGCATATTGTCATTCAAGTGGGATGTTTATGGTTATTCTTATTTGTTCTGTCCTGTCTCTCTGATTCTTACAGCCATTCTCATAGAGATGTCTCCATGTACAACTGGATCAGATGTCTGTGTTTACTGTATAGAAATGCACCTTGTAAAATGTACATACTGTATAACATACCTGAGCTACGCACACATGCAAACATCTACATGTCTGCTATGCATCCTCATAAAAGTGCCAAAGAAACATTTAAGCCAATGGAAGATTTTATTTCTATTAAAGACAAGAACATTGATGTGTTGCAATATATTCCAACACACACTGATCTGTTTGCTTGTTTTCTATCGTGGTAGAATGAAGACCAGCCGTGGAATGTTGGTTTGGCAGAATGTGTGTGTCAGCATGTGTGTGGGTGTCAGTGTGTGTGTGTGTGTGTGTGTGTGTGTGTGTGTGTGTGTGTGTGTTCATATGTGTGCACACAGGCAGGGACGTGTTTCAGAAAACTGAAATGCGCCAACAGGCACATAGCATAGTGATTATAAGGGTGGGACTATATTGGTCTTCTATCTGAGAAAAACTCCAACTCCGAGTGTATTACTTTCATGAATCAATCCACCCATACTGCTGCTATTCAAAGTTTAAACATGTTGGGGGGTTGAAGGGAGGGATGGGGGTGATAGAGAAGGGGTGGTTTGTAGGTTTGTCATGCTGTGTTTCCATGACAACAAGCATAGGTGTACTAACCCTGGTCTCTGGCTTGGTGCTATTGGCCTAGCTCACACACAGAGGAGCAACATTCTGCACTTACATGTTTGAGCTAACAGAAGATACACAGTCTTTCAATAAATCAATCATGCACACACACGCACACAAACACACACTGTACCCTGACAGTCAATCATCATGAACACACACAGACTCAAAAAAGCACGTATGCATGCTCACGCTCACGCACACACACACACACACACACACACACACACACACACACACACACACACACACACACACACACACACACACACACAGACAGAAAGAGCTGTGAGATTCCTCAGAGCCTGTTGAAATCATAGGGTAGAGTGGTTCTGGTTAATACTGTATATATACCAAATAAAAAAATAAAACCTAATCCCCCTTATTTATTTTGTATTTTCTTTATAATTTCCCCCTCTACCCTACCATCCCTACCCTGATTGGGGGTAAACTAATGGACAACAGTACTTCTACTGCTATTTACAGCTATTTCCGCTCACAGCTATGGTACCTGTGGTTAAATAATTATACATATATTCCAAATTTCTTAAAGTGCTGGATTTTCACCCACAGCGGCCAATCCACCATTCATTCTGATCTTAACGCCAACCCTCCGATGTCCAAGGCTGTTCAGTCTGTACAGCATGCAAGATAGGCTATACCATACGGTAAACAATGCATTACAGTAACATTATCTTCAGAGCTGGCAACATTTGAGAGCAAGACACATTACTGTAAACCTTTTAGAAGAGCTCATGCCTAGTGCTGAAGATTGAATGTCTTCTTATTATCTTGATATTATCTTTAAAGATGCTGTAAGGTGATAAGATGGAAATGGTTATAATAACTCATTATACAATGTGCTGAGCAGGGCTGGCTCCAGGCATAAGCAGACGCTTAGGGCCCCCAAAAGGCTGGAGCCGGCCATGGTGTTGAGTGACACCAGTATGCTTCACTGGCAGGTTGTCTGTGCCAGTGACAGTATGCAATCAAAATTGTTTTTCCTGTGGACACGCCCACTTGGATGAGGGATAGAGTTTGCATATTGTTAGTGTGTAAAAATGTGTTGCAGTGAAAATTATTTGTTAAACTATTGCAATGAATACTGTAATGAATGCTATTGCAATTAATGATTTAATGAATGCTTTTGCAATGAATGCTGTGATGAATATCTAATAAGAGATGAACAGCACTTTTTAAGATGTTTATTGGCTTAGCCAGGGGGCCTTTGCTGTTCAGACTCTTGCTCCATTCGGTCCGTCAATAGTGATCTGGGGAAAAGGAACAGTAAACATTTCAGCGTTAAGACTTCTTAAACTTGACTGACACACTGAGACACAGAGATAATAATAATCAGGCTGGTCACTAGAAACACAATAATAGCGTACCCTCCCACAGAGCACACACGCACACACACACACACACACGCACACACACACACACACACACACACACACACCTTCTTCTCTAGGCTAGAAAGAGGAGGGGGTGGGGACATGGAAAGAAAAAAAGAAAACATTAAAATCGTTTGCGAGGCAAACAGGTTGATGGTAGGTGTGGTCTGTCTTGTTTGACCAAAACCGATTATCTTCCGTGTTGTAGATCCAGTCTGCGCTCGATAGCGATGCTCCTACGCAGAAAGGTGCGACCGGAGAGAATTAAAGCGCCACCACCAACCGCTTCGCTTTGCAGCATCTCCGCTCATAGCTACCGCGCACTGCAGCCAGGATTTTAAAGTCTTCGTCCCATATTTCTTTCCACCGGAGTTTCAAAACTTTTTGCATTGGAAGATGAGTCTACACACGTCCCAGAGAAACCGCAAATCCGGTTCTAGGCCAGACCTGAGCGAAGTGCACGGTGGTAATGGATACGGACAGGAGTACATGGACGGCGGAGGATACAATACATACAGCTACTCAAAGACGTCCATGGGAGGTGGTGGAGGAGTACAGGGGTAAGACGGTTTTTATTTATTCTAAAGGCCATTCATTGTGCTGTATTACACAACTGTAGCTCTCACTTGCCCGAATACTGTTTTTAGTAGGCTAAATTTCTCCAGAGAGAAAATGCGTTGTCCAAAGTGTGGCTATCTCCGGTTGAAATCATCAAACACATTTTTGATTTCCATCTAGTTCATGAATAACTTGATATCAAGATATTGGAATTCTTGAGGGAAATGTATAGTTGTCTGTCTATTGACTAGGACGAATATTTGTATTACCACAAAGCCTAGTACACAGTTATTTTTTTCTGTGTGCAGACCCAGTTCATAATGTATTACCCTGCATTGAGAGGTATTCGTTTTGAAGAACGATGCTCTGGCCTGACTGCTAAAAACATGACACGAAATGCAAATTAAACGTTTTATTACAGCCTACATTAGTTAACATGTCACGATATGCATATTATGAGCACTGAGAACGTATTTGCATGCATCCAAATAGATATGTGGAGTTTTTTACACTATAGAGATCACTACTGACTGTTGCCTGGCTACCCAAACTCCTTGCTCTGGCCAAATGCTACGCCACGCCCACGGACATTAGTTGATGTATGTAGTAAACATAGACCTGAAACCTGTCTCTGTGCCTCTCTGTGGGGAAGCTGCAGGGAGACTTAAACTTTAATTATAACTCACATAGCAAACTGTGAGGCTCTAACACACTTCTACTCCATTCCTGAGACCTGTGTAGGAATCTTAAACATTCTATAGAGTCTATATTAGTATAGAGGTCATAGTTGATGATTACAGTATGAATACCTGTAGAAAGACTATTCATATGACAACAAACAAAGACCAACAGATCCTCTGGGAGCACGTAAAGCCATGTGAAGTTTCAGTAGCTCTTTAGCAGTTGCATTCTCTTTATATGTGCAGTTTTTAGTCTCTCTGCCACTCTGTGTTGTTGGTTAAGTGGCAAAGGAAAACCATGTCACTACGCTTGAAAACCACTTCCCGGGAAAAGCATGTCACTACTCTTGAAAACCACTTCCCGGGAAAAGCATGTCACTACTCTTGAAAACCACTTCCCGGGAAAAGCATGTCACTACTCTTGAAAACCACTTCCCGGGAAAAGCATGTCACTACTCTTGAAAACCACTTCCCAGGAAAAGCATGTCACTACTCTTGAAAACCACTTCCCAGGGAAAGCATGTCACTACTCTTGAAAACCACTTCCCGGGAAAAGCATGTCACTACTCTTGAAAACCACTTCCCGGAAAAGCATGTCTCTACTCTTGAAAACCACTTCCCAGGAAAAGCATGTCACTCTTGACTCATGTTTCCCCTTTGCCCATCCCTGCACATAGTCCATTCAATTAGGGCACATCGGAAGCATCCTTAGATAACTAAATTCTTGCTAGTTGCTGCACTAAGACCACAATTCATTGCAGGAAACCACCGGGATCATTGACGTACATAATTGATCAATGTTAAACATTTATTTAACGAGGAAGTCACATTGAGGTCAGAAGAAGGGCCAGTTGTTGACAGTGATGAGGATGATGATTACAATGATGACAATGTTTTATAGTGATGATGTTTATAGGAGGCTAATGATGATAATGGTGACGATGTCTTCCATGTCTCCTACAGCCAGTCCACCCCCAGTGCCCTCCAACAGAAGGCATACATCCTGCAGGGCCAATGTCAGGAATACCTGAGGAAGGCAGAACACTGCCTACAGGCCGTAAGTCACTACCTACCATAGAGATATAATAAGTGTTATATTCTATGAGTCACTTCATGTCCTGTCTGCTTTGAGATACTGACTTTAGTCATGTTTTAGTCTAAATACAGTTAGTCTGCATGTAATCAGACAGTCTGACTAAGATATGTACTATACCTGACTGTGGTATGAAAGCTGAGATAGTACTACACTAATCCTACAACCAATCACCCTTGACTTGCTTTAGTGGAGTTCTTGTAAGTACAAGTAGGCCTATGCATGTTATCATCAGAGGAACATGAATGAGGTTTCTTATCTTGGGTAGACATTCACACATGACGAATCCTCACACCTGGCATGTGAAATATGCTCTGTCAGGTGCAACTCCACCCTTTCACTTCATGTTCTCAAATGAGCTTAAAACCGCATTAGATATTTAAGTCTGTCAAGCCAGGTCTTATCAGAATCATGTCTTTGTTTAATAAATCATAACCAGTGAGATTATATGGCTCATCTGTCCCTGTTATGTTTGACATGTTCATGCAGGTATGGCTGACTCAACGCGTGCGTGTGTGCGTGCACGCACATGAGTGCGTGTGTTTTTGTTTCAAGCTGCATGGAATGAAAGTAGTGTGTTTTTGGATTATGCATGGTCTGAAAGAAGGCATTGTCTCAGCTTCTGTTTGGTACACAGTCTGCAGTAAACCCAGCGACTATCTTTAAACACACACCCAGGGAATGTTTTAATTTGGCCATGACCTGTCACAGAATGTACTCGTTAACCATTATAGTACACTACTACAATCTAATATGAGTAATAGAAGCTGTCTGGACAAAGGTGATTATGATTGAAACATTATGGTCCTGTCATTAACTGGGTTTTGAACTGAAGGACTCACCTGACTGAACATAGTCTACTGTATTCTCGTTTGAGAAACCTAGAACAGCAAGTCGAAGCTAGACTGAACATAATATACAAATCCATAATGTGCATCTCTTCCTGACATTTCCCTGTTGATCCTACAGGGCGGCGATGCTGGGCGTGCCACAGCCGAGGCAGAACGCTTCATGGCCATGGCCAGAGAGACCATAGAGCAGCTGAAGGGATGTGCTCGGGACCTGAGCCACATGGGCCAATCCAACGACAACGTGGTCCGAAGGTCAGTAGTCTCACGGTACCAAACCTCAACACCATATTCTTGTTTGAAACCTAGAAAGGCTGGAGTCAAGGTGAAGAGGTCAAATATACAGAGAGATGACCACTACTACAACTTTTTATTTGTACAGGTTATTCTCATTGGGGCCGATTTAGACTTAGGAAATCTATTTCTTTTTTACACGTTTTGATGTAAGTACTTCTCAGTATTTGATATTTAGACATACCTTATCCAGGTGTGCAACAAGCTCTTTGGAAGTGGCTTCCTTATGCACACTGAATCAATGTAATTCAACCGCCAAAGACGCTCCCACTTGCTGGCCAACAGATTTTGGAATGGAGTTTTCATTCAATAGGGTTTTCAGTACATTTATCTAAAGCAATCCCTTTAAATACAGTGTACCTTTAATTTGAATTCTCGGCAGACTTACGTTCCCAGCAAGATGCCGCTCAAAACAGAAGGGGGAACTAACTAAGAGTCACTGACCACAACCAAAAAGAAACAGGTGGGGTTTTAGCAGGGGTTCTGAAAGACACTCATGGGGGTGTCCACTAAAAGTTGACTAGCAACAACTGCTGTGGCCTAAAAGACACCCACCATGAGTGGCGCAGTGGTCTAAGGCACTGCATCGCAGTGCTAACTGTGCCACTAGAGATCCTGGTTCGAATCCAGGCTCTGTCGCAGCCGGCCGCGACCGGGAGACTCATGGGCGGCGCACAATTGGCCCAGCGTCGTCCAGGGTAGGGGAGGGAATGGCCGTTTAAACTGCCACGTTTTGTCTGCATTCCATATTGATTCAAATAGGCTACATGTCCCAAATTATTTCACAACTTGTAATTAAATATGATCCACTATTGCTAGCGACCCTCAGCAACAACTACATGGACGTGACAGCATTTACAGAGGAAACAAATAAAAGTAGGCTAAATCAAACAATGTGGCCTAATGGAATGATATGGAATGATACGGAATGTAGGGACTGAAGGGAACTAACCCTAAATAAAGTTATAAGGTCATACAATTTAAATTCTGCTTAACGGCACAGCATGTCATACTTCACTGTGGGAGATAAATACCTGTTATGTTGAGATGCTTTTCAGTTTGCAGCCTTATGACTGATTTCACATTTGTCTCCAGCGATCATAAGATAAAATAGATCTAAAACAATAGGCATTTATATTTACAATCCCCTTATCCAAATGGATTACTCATGTACCTAGCTCTTATCAATAAAGTGAGGTCCAAAAGTATTGGGACAGTGACCAATATTTATTTGGGGGGATCAATGTTGTTGTTCCTCCAGTAGAACACCAGATCTTTTGAAATGACACAACAACTTTGAGGTTAAAGTGCAGACTGTCAACTTTAATTTGAGGGTATGTTCATCCATATCGGGTGAACCGTTTAGAAACTACATCACTTTGTACATAGCCCCCCCCATTTTAGGGGACCAAAAGTATTGGGACAAATCCACTTACGTGTATTGAGGTAGTAAAAAGTTAAGTATTTGGTCCCAATTCATAGCACGCAATGACTACATCAAGCTTGTGACTCTTCTACAAATTTGTTGGATGCATTTGCTGTTTGTTTTGCTGATGGTGCCAACAGATCTGGCAGCTCTGCTTCTAGCTCCTAAGCAACTTTGCAGTATTTTGTTTTTTTGTGTGTTATTTCTTACATTATTAGTCCAGGATTTTTTTTGTGTTATTACATACAGCCGGAAATAACTTTTGGATATCAGAGCGGCGGTAACTCCCCAGCATTACGACCTGGAATACGACTTTCCCGAAATGGATCCTTTGTTCGTACCCCCCAGGCAATTTAACTTATTCCAGAGGCTGCTCCAAAAACGTTGGCAGAGAAGAGGTATTCGGAGTGGACTTCTAGTCTGACTCAGGAGGCGTGCACACCATCCACCACTTCCGAGTATATTACTCGCGAATGTTCAGTCTCTGGATAATAAAGTAGATGAGCTCGGGGCGAGGATCTCCTTCCAGAGAGACATCAGGGATTGTAACATACTCTGTTTCACGGAAACATGGCTCTCTCGAGACATACTGTCCCCGTCCATACAGCCAGATGGGTTCTCAGTACATCGCGCAGACAGGAATAAAGAACTCTCCAGGAAGAAGAAAGGCGGGGGTGTATGTTTCATGATTAACTACTCATGGTGTGATTGTGATAACATACAGAAACTGAAGTCCTTTTGTTCATCCGACCTAGAATACCTCACAATCAAATGTCGACCGTATTACCTCCCAAGAGAATTATCTTCGGTTATAGTCACAGCCGTGTATATTCCCCCTCAAGCCGATACCACAACGGCACTCAAAGAACTACACTGGACTTTATGCAAACTGGAAACCACATATCCTGAGGCCGCCTTTATTGTAGCTGGGGATTTTAACAAAGCAAATTTGAAGTTCTACCAACACATTGACTGTAGTACTTGCTCTGGGAAAACATTGGACCACTGCTACTCATCTTTTTGAAATGCCTACAAGGCTCTCCCCCGCCCTCCCTTCGGCAAATCTGATCACGACTCCGTTTTGCTCCTCTTCCTATAGGCAGAAACTCAAACAGGAAGTACCCGTGCTAAGGTCTATTCAACGCTGGTCTGACCAATCGGAATCCATGCTTCAAGATTGTTTTTATCACGCGGACTGGGATGTGTTCCGGGTAGTCTCTGAGAATAACATCGACAAATACACAGATATGGTGACTAAGTTCATCAGGAAGTGTATAGGAGATTCTATACCCACTGTGACTATTAAAACCTACCCAAACCAGAAACCGTGGATAGATGGCAGCATTCGCGCAAAAACGGAAAAGTGCGAACTACCGCATTTAACCATGGCAAGGTGACTGGGAATATGGCCGAATAGAAACAGTGTAGTTATTCCCTCCGTAAGGCAATCAAATAGGCAAAACTTCAGTACAGAGACAAAGTGGAGTCGCAATTCAACGGCTCAGACACGAGACGGATGTGGCAGGGTCTACAGACAATCACAGACTACAAAGGGAAAACCAGCCACGTCGCGGACACCGACGTCTTGCTTCCGGACAAGCTAAACACCTTCTTCGCCCGCTTTGAGGATAACACAGTGCCACCGACCCGGCCCACTACCAAGGACTGTGGGCTTTCCTTCTCCGTGGCCGACGTGAGTAAGACATTTAAGCGTGTTAACCATCGCAAGGCTGCCGGCCCAGACGGCATCCCTAGCCGCGTCCTCAGAGCATGCGCAGACCAGCTGGCTGGAGTGTTTACGGACATATTAAATCTCTCCCTATCCCAGTCTGCTGTCCCCACTTGCTTCAAGATGTCCACCATTGTTCCTGTACCCAAGAAAGCAAAGGTAACAGAACTAAATGACTATCGCCCCGTAGCACTCACTTCTGTCATCATGAAGTGCTTTGAGAGGCTAGTTAAGGATCATATCACCTCTACCTTATCTGACACCCTAGACCCACTTCAATTTGCTTACCGCCCCAATAGATCCACAAACGATGCAATCGCCATCGCACTGCACACTACCCTATCCCAACTGGACAAGAGGAATACCTATGTAAGAATGCTGTTAATTGACTATAGCTCAGCATTCAACACCATAGTACGCTCAAAGCTCACGTTTAAGCTTGGGGCCCTGGGTCTGAACCCCACCCTGTGCAACTGGGTCCTGGACTTTCTGACAGGCCGCCCCCAGGTGGTGAAGGTAGGAAACAACACCTCCACTTCGCTGATCCTCAACACAGGTGCCCCACAAGGGTGCAGGTGGTGAAGGTAGGAAACAACACCTCCACTTCGCTGATCCTCAACACAGGTGCCCCACAAGGGTGCGTACTCAGCCCCCTCCTATAGTCCCTGTTCACCCATGACTGCGTGGCCAAGCACGCCTCCAACTCAATCATCAAGTTTGTAGACGACACAACAGTAGTAGGCCTGATTACCAACAATGACGAGACAGCCTACAGGGAGGAGTTGAGGGCCATGGGGGAGGGGTGCCACTAGTCACTTTAATAATGTTTACATACTGCTTTACTCATATGTATATACTGTATTCTATTCTACTGTATTTTAGTCAATGCCACTCCGACATTGCTCGATCTAATATTTATTTATTTATTAATTCCATTCTTTTACTTTTATATTTGTGTGTATTGTTGTGAATTGTTAGATACTACTGCACTGTTGGAACTAGGAACACAAGCATTTTGCTACACCCACAATAACATCTGCTAAATATGTGTATGTGACCAATAACATTTGATTTGATTTGTGTTTCAGATGATTTATAGAAATGAATGGTAAATAATGTATTGTGTCATTTTGGAGTCACTTTTATTGTAAATAAGAATAGTATATGTTTCTAAACACTTCTACATTAATGTGGATGCTACCATGGTTACGGATAATCCTGAATGAATCGTGAATAATGATGAGTGAGAAAGTTACAGACGCACAAATATCATACCCCAAGACATGCTAACCTCTCACCATTATAATAACAGGGGAGGTTAACATTTTTGGTGGGGTATGATATTTGTGCGTCTATAACCTTCTCACTCATCATTATCAGCACTCCTACTTTGAGAATCTTTGTGGAAACGGGCCCAGTTCTGTATTAATATATTAGAAATCCCTTACCTTCTTTCACTTTCCCTTCGTCATCCAAATTGTTAGGGTTATGTATAGCGTTGTTGTGTTTAACTCTCTCTCTCTCTCTCCCCCGTCTCTTTCCCCCTCCCTCCATAGTGTTGAGCTGTTTAGGGACCAGTTAAAGGGAGTCCACATGGCCATTTATGGGACCATGCAGAGGCGGAGCCGGGGGAGCAGGGGGAGTGGTACATGGGAGGAAGCTGGGAGGAGCTTCAACGAGGCCATTGCCTGGATTGGACAGCAGAAGGTACAGAAAACCACACCCTACCCAGAGATAAAGGACAGATGTGTAATGCAGTGTAGGATGGCATATGCTATAGAATTGCATAATATTATTGTTGCCAGCTGTACATCTTCTAAAGATATCATGATAACTGCATGTAGTTGTGAGTCAAAAGTGGTGCTGACAACTTCTTGCAAAACATTCCCAGTGTAGTCAGACAGTGATATTTAGAATATTTAGGTCATCATTGTGAGACACTTGACCCTTTGACACTTTTAGGAATTTCTCCCTCCCACACACAACATTTTGATCCAGAAGGGCAGGGGTGTGTAGGAGAGGCCAGTGTAGATAACACACTGACACTCAAATCAAATTTAGTTCTGAATACACAGGAAATCACACACTGCACGCACACACAAATGCACGCACACACATGCACACACACAGTAATTATCTTAAAATAACCATAGCCCTTCTCTGATAATTCCCACTCAGACATACTGTACTGTTATCACAACCTCCGGTGACGTACGTTATCCCTGCCTGCTGAACTATTGCACACCTTCCTCTGCCAGCTCTCGCAACACTCCAAGATGACTGGAGAATGAACAGAGAGGATAGAGCAGGTGGTGGAGAAGGTTATGACTGCAGCTTTGCCACTTATGTATTTACAGAAAATATCCAGATGTCATGCTAGAGGTTACGCATTAAGAAATGTATGTCAATTGTTGTGCCAAGTTGAAAGCATTCTTCGTATTTGCACATGCAGGAATGAGAGGTTTTTTAAGTTGTAAAGAATGTCTGCCACTGTCAGATAAATCTCAATTAGTAGGGGTGGAGGAGACCAGAGACAGAGAAGGACAAAAACATTCTCACACACACCAACACTTGTATGCAACCACACTCCCCACAAACTGAGGTGAAAGTGAGACTATGTTATTGTGATCTTCAGTGGATCAAACTCCCTGTCTGCTGGGGAACTCCTGACATACTGTATTTCTTCCTTGTTTTTTTTTTTTTTTGTATTACAGGTTTACAGGGGTAACCATTCAGCACCATACCTCATGTTTCTCTATCACCACCTAGTGGCAATATGCAGCATTGTCTTCACAATAGTCAAATCAAATCAACGTTTCTTTGTCACATACACAGTTTAGCAGGTGTTATAGAATTGCAACGAAATGCTTATGTTACAAATAAACATTGGGTCAAAACGGAGTATTCATGGAGAGGTTGGTTGCTGTTGTGTGTATTCAACATGTCTCGCCTCTGCTTTGGTTGAGATGTGTTAATGTTGTGTGTGAGATGTGGTTGAGAAGGGGTTGATATGTGGTTATAACCATGGTTGTGATGTCTTTGTGTTACAGCGTCTGATAGAGACCTCTCCCTGGGGAGACGACTCTGCAGCCATCGAGCAGCAGCTGATCACCCATACCAAGTTCCACAGCTCCATACAGAGAAGTGCAGAGGTGGACAGGGCCAAGGATGAACTGGTGTGTAGGCTATACACACGCGCACACACGCACACACACACACACACACCTGTCACAAACACAGTTACTTTCACACTCTCTCACACATTCTATTTCTGGGAGTGTGTGTGATTCTGAGTTTGTGTGATTCTAGCTCCGTGTGTGTTTTCTTCCCTACAGATCAAGAAAGGAGACAAGGCCAACCAGCACGCCCTGGATCAGGAATGGGAAACGCTGCAGGTGAGAGAGGGCTCTGGGGAAAACTCTCACACACACCCACCCCTGCATTACTCTATAATATGGTTGTTGTACCATATCTTATCTCTCTGTATGTTTGTGTTGTATTGAACATGTTGGTGTCCATTTGTCTGTCTGTTAGTCATGTCACAACCAGGGGTGTAGTGCTGCCGGAGCACGGAGGATTGGCGCTCCCTCACTAAATGTGAGAATACACGGAGCTGGTAAAACTTTTTGGAAAATTCATTCAGATACATTTAAATAATTACCAATAACATTCCATGAAAAACGATATCATGACAAACCAAATCAATATGTTTAGCAGCCTAGAGGTAGATGGTGGTTTCTTCCCTGTCTTCTCTCTGGCGGTGGCGAGAATGATGCAGAACTATAGGCTACGTGTGTGCACTGCGGAGGCCCGTCAGAGGCTTGACCACTTAGGGAAATCAGAACGTGTCTGCCTTGATGTTCATAAAACTCCATGGACCCCCTTCTTGCGCAGTGGAACCCAGAATGATATGTGACCACTTGGTTACTGCGACACCGTTCTGCCAAGGACACCCAAAGCCCCCAACAATAGCACTACACCACTGGTCACAATAGATTGATTGATTGTACCTAACTATAGATGTCTTACCATGTTTTCTGTCAGAAAATGTCTCATGGCCGTAACAACCAGCTGAGAGAGCTACAGCAGATCATTGAGGAGATCAGCAGAGAAATCATGTGGGTGAATGAGAGAGAGGAGGAAGAACTGGTGTTCGACTGGGGGGAAAACAACATCAACCTCTACATTCCCAAGAAGCAGGAGAGCTACTCGGTAAGGACTGGGTCAAGGGTTAAAGGTCAAGTGTCACAGTGGGAGGGGGGAAATGCTAATTGATTATTCCCATAGAGGCCATACAGGATGTCTGCGTACCAAATGTCACCCTATTACCTATTTAGTGCAGTACTTTTCACCAGGGCTCTGGTCAATGTAGGGAATAGGGTGCCATTTGGGGTGCAGCCTAGCTGTAATAATTCTTAATTGTTCCTGATCATTCCTGATGATTAGTATTGTTTGTGTCTAGTCCCGTGACTGACACATCTAGTTTATTGTGTATCTGCCTATTATTATGTGTTGTTAATCTGTTTTGCATTCTGTACACTAGAGAACTATAATGCCAATTACCAAACCACAGAGTTGTGCAATGAAACCACAGATCACTCCTCCAGTCCCAATGGGTCCCCAGGGCCTAACACTGTTTCTGTCTCTCCAGTTCTGCCCTAACTGTGTTGTTGTTCTCTGACAGAAACTGATGAGTACCCTGGAGGAGAAGGAGAAAGACCTGAATAAACTGAAGTTTAAAGTGGACAGCCTTCTGAAGAACCATCACCCTGCCTCTGACAAGATCGAGGTGAGGAGAATATCTATTTGATTATTTATTTGATTATTAGCTGTTACAGTCGCAACAGCTACTCTTGCTGTGGCCCATGATATCTAGCAGTATCTACTGTAGTTATCTACACTGAACAAAATTATAAATGCAACAATTTAAGATTCTACTTAGTTACAGTTCATATAAGGAAATGAGTCATTAGGCCCTAATCTATGGATTTCACATGACTGGGAATACAGATATGCATTTGTTGGTCACAGATACCTGAAAAAAAAAAAGGTAGGGCGTGGATCAGAAAATCAGCGAATATCCCTCGCAGAATGATCAGCTGTTGATTTTGGCCGTGATGTTTCCACCGTCTTCATGGCTTGCGAATTGCTGGTTATTGGCGTGACTGACAGCTTATACACTTCCAGAGCATCAATGGGAGATGTATGCGCCAAAACTGGGACATTATCAGCTCCATAATTGTGTACAATCTGCAATTGGCTGTGCATATTGCGAACTGGGATGCCGGAGAATGGCACGACAATGGACCTCAGGATCTCGTCACGGTATCTCTGTGCATTCAAATTGCCATCAATAAAATGCAATTGTGTTCATTGTCCATAGCTTATGTCTGCCCATACCATAACCCCACTGCCACCAAAGGGCACTCTGTTCACAATGTTGACATCAGCCAACTGCTCGCCATCTGCCCCGGTACAGTTGAAACCAGGATTAATCCGTGAAGAGCACACTTCTCCAGCGTGTCAGTGGCCATCGAAGGTGAGAATTTGCCCACTGAAGTCGGTTACGGCGCCGAACTGCAGTCAGGTCAAGACCCTCATGAGGACGACGAGCACACCGATGAGCTTCCCTGAGACGGTCTCTGACAGTTTGTGCAGAAATTCTTCGGTTGTGTAAACCCACAGTTTCATCAGCTGTCTGAGTGGCTGGCGTGGTTACTCGTGGTCTGTGATTGGACGTACTGCCAAATTCTCTAAAACGACGTTGGAGGTGGCTTATGGTAGAGAAATGAACATTCAGTTATCTGGCAACAGCTCTGGTGGACATTCCTGCAATCAGCATGCCTATTGCACGCTCCCACAAAACTTGAGACATCTGTGGCATTGTGTTGTGTGACAAAACTTCACATTTTAGAGTGGCCTTTTATGATCATGCTGCTTAATTAGCTTCTTGATATGCCACATCTGTCAGGTGGATGGATTATCTTGGCAAAGGAGAAATGCTCAGTAACAGGGATGTAAACAAATTTGTTCACAAAGTTTGAGAGAAAGAAGCTTTTTGTGCATATGGAAAACTTCTGGGATCTTTTATTTCAGCTCATGAAACATGGGACCAACACTTTACATGTTGCATTTATATTTTTGTTCAGTGTTATTCATTGTGATGGTTATCTTGATACGAGTTCTCTCATCTTCCTTTCCATCCACCCCTTTCATTCATCCTTTAACCACTCTATCCTTCTGTTTTTATTTCTTCCAGGCCTACATGGACACTCTGCAGACCCAGTGGAGCTGGCTCCTCCAGATCACCAAGTGTATTCATGTCCACCTGAAGGAGAATGCTGCATACAGCCAGTTCTTCAAGGAGGCCAATGAGACGTACAGCAAGCTGCAGAAGGAGCATGAGAACATCCGTAGGAAGTTCACCAGCGACAGGAACACACCTCTGGAAAACCTGCTGGAACTACTCAAGGGCCTGGAGGTAAGACATGTATATCAGCACCACAGATGTTGTTCAATGCTATATCTCAAACAAACAATTCCCCATATAGTGCACTACTTTTGACTGTAGTCACTCCGGTAAAAAGAAACTGTGCACTACATGGGGAATAGGCAGTAATATGTGAAGAAATCCCAAGTTCAATTTCTCCCCTTGTCCTCTGATATGGATATTAACCTCTGAACCCTAACCTTTGTGTCCAACAGAAGGAGAAGGAGCGGATCATGGAGAATAAGAGGCAGGTGCAGCACCTGGTCAACATGTCCAAGAGCATCGTGAGGCTGAGACCACGTAACCCTGAGGAAGAGAAGAGCAGTAGTCCTGTTATGGTACAGGCCCTGTGTGACTTCAAACAGGACCAGGTCAGACACATGTTTATTTCATTTGATTTATTTCACCTTTATTTTATCAGGGAGTCATACTGAGACCAAGGTCTCTTTTACAGATGAGCCCTGAATTACATAAATTACAGAAAATACACACATCAATATAAATACAAAATGCAAGCAGAAAGAACAACATGGTTAAAAAACAACACATTCATCAGTAATAAGGTCCTCAATCAGCCTTCTGAATTGCCCTAGAGGAACCACAACATCAAATGTAAGAACATTTTGAAGATTGTTCCACAAATAAGGTGCAAGAAAACTAGAAGCTGATTTACCTAACTCGGTAGAGACCAAATACATTTACGGAGTTAACCATCCCTGAGACCGGGTGTGGTAACTCGTATGTCTAAAGTTTAGTGAAGATGTTAGGTACAGTGGGACGTTTTGTAAAAGGGCTTCATAAATGAAAACATAGCAATTTATCAACCTACAGTTGAAGTCGGAAGTTTACATACACCTTAGCCAAATACATTTAAACTCAGTTTTTCACAATTCCTGACATTTCATCCTAGTAAAAAATCCCTGTCTTAGGTCAGTTAGGATCACCACTTTATTTTAAGAATGTGAAATGTCAGAATAATAGTAGAGAGAATGATTTATTTCAGCTTTTAGTTCTTTCATCACATTCCCAGTGGGTCAGAAGTTTACATACACTCAATTAGTATTTGGTAGCATTGCCTTTAAATTGTTTAACTTGGGTCAAACGTTTCGGGTAGCCTTCCACAAGCTTCCCACAATAAGTTGGGTGAATTTTGGCCCATTCCTCCTGACAGAGCTGGTGTAACTGAGTCAGGTTTGTAGGCCTCCTTGCTCGCACATGCTTTTTCAGTTCTTCCCACACATTTTCTATAGAATTGAGGTCAGGGCTTTGTGATGGCCACTCCAATACCTTGATTTTGTTGTCCTTAAGCCATTTTGCCACAACTTTGGAAGTATGCTTGGGGTCATTGTCCATTTGGAAGACCCATTTGCGACCAAGCTTTAACTTCCTGACTGATGTCTTGAGATGTTGCTTCAATATATCCACATAATATTCCTTCCTCATGATGCCATCTATTTTGTGAAGTGCACCAGTCCCTCCTGCAGCAAAGCACCCCCACAGCATGATGCTGCCACCCCTGTGCTTCACGGTTGGGAGGGTTTTCTTCGTCTTACAAGTACCCCCTTTTTCCTCCAAACATAACGATGGTCATTATGGCCAAACAGTTCTATTCTTGTTTCATCAGACCAGAGTTCATTTCTCCAAAAAGTACGATCTTTGTCCCCATGTGCAGTTGCAAACCGTAGTCTGGCTTTTTTATGGCAATTTTGGAGCAGTGGCTTCTTCCTTGCTGAGCGGCCTTTCAGGTTATGTCGATATAGCACTCGTTTTACTGTGGATATAGATACTTTTGTACCTCTTTCCTCCAGCATCTTCACAAGGTCCTTTGCTGTTGTTCTGGGATTGATTTGCACTTTTCTCACCAAAGTACGTTCATCTCTCATACCGCGTCTCCTTCCTGAGCGGTATGACGGCTGCGTGGTCCCATGGTATTTATACTTGCGTACTATTGTTTGACTCAAATGATGTCAATTAGCCTATCAGAAGCTTCTAAAGCCATGACATCATTTTCTGGAATTTTCCAAGCTGTTTAAAGGCACAGTCAACTTAGTGTATGTAAACTTCTGACCCACTGGAATTGTGATACAGTGAATTATGAGTTAAATAATCTGTCTGTAAACAATTGTTGGAAAAATTAATTGTGTCATGCACAAAGTAGATGTCCTAACCGACTTGCCAAAACTATAGTTTGTTAACAAGAAATTTGTGGAGTGGTTGAAAAACTATTTTTAATGACTCCAACCTAAGAGTATGTAAACTTCCGACTTCAACTGTATTGTGCTCTACAGAAGGTGATTCTGAAGGGAAACGAGGGCATCCTGAAAGACAACTCCCAACGCAGTAAGTGGCAGGTGACAGGACCAGGAGGACTGGACATGCTGGTGCCTTCTGTCTGTCTGCTGGTGCCACCACCCAACTCCCTGGGCATCAACCTGGCCAACAAGTAAGAACACTCACACACACACACACACATATATGTACGCACGCACGTATACATGTATGTACGCACGCATGCACACATGCGATGCAAGGACTAAATCACTGTCATTGTTGTGTGGTCCATCAGGAATGAGCAGTACTATGAGGCCATCCTGTCTGTGTGGAACCAGCTCTACATCAACATAAAGAGTCTCATCTCCTGGCAGTACTGTGTCCAGGACATCACACGCATCAACTCACTCACCATCACCATGGTAAGAACCTATCACCACTGTAACCATATCGTTGTCATCACCCTAACCACGTCATCACTGTCACTACAGGCAGTTTCACTAAAAAGGTCCACGACTGACTCAAATGTCAGAGTTTGACTTTATGGTGCAGCTGAGTCCACTATTACTAAGATTACAAATGACCTGACTACAAAAAACTACATTCAAATCATAACAACACAGTGATTCACCAAACCGAGGACACAAAAACAGTGTCTGAATGTTTCTTAATGTGTGTCCTCTCAGCTGTCCCGTATGCGTCCTGAGGAGTACCACAGCATGCTGAAGAGTCTGGAGGCCCACTACTCAGAGTTCACACACTGTTGCCATGGCTCTGAGATGTTCAAGGACGAGGACAAGAGGAGCATCGAGAGCCAGTACACTGGAGCCCAGTCTCACTATGACCAACTGGTGGTCCAGCTACCTGCTTACAGTGAGTAGATATACAGTATCAGGTCCATTACAGTGAGTAGATATACAGTAGATATACATTAGAGATATAGTAGAGATACAGTAGATATACAGTAAAGATATACAGTAGATATACAGAAAGCATCTCTCTCACTGTAGGGACAGTATGCTCCTCTATTCTCTCTCACTGTAGGGACAGTATGCTCCTCTATTCTCTCTCACTGTATGGACAGTATGCTCCTCTATTCTCTCTCACTGTATGGACAGTATGCTCCTCTATTCTCTCTCACTGTAGGGACAGTATGCTCCTCTATTCTCTCTCACTGTAGGGACAGTATGCTCCTCTATTCTGCTGTGTCTCTCCACCTACAGTATGTACTCTGAGTGCATGTCAATAATTTAAGTTGTACCTTTACCATACAGCATATGACCTCTAACCTCTCCATCTCTCTGTCCCTAGCTGCACAACAGACCGCCAACGAAGGGAGGATCAAGGCAGAGGAGGACGCCAGGATACTGGCGACCAATCAAAAGGAGGCAAAGAAGATAGAGGAGACCAAGATAGTGGAGATTAAGCAACAGGATGTGAAAAAGGAGGTGGTTAAGAAGGTGAAGAAGAAGGTGGTGGTGACGTCACATAGCCTGACGGAGCTGCACACGCTCAGACTGCGCCTGGAGGAAGCGGAGGCGGGGCTTACTCAGCACATCCACATCTGTCTGGGAGAGGACGGAGCGCACGACTGTGGTCTGAGGATCAGCCAACTAGAGGTACACACACACATGGACGCACGCACACACCGATACAATATACTGTACAACCTAGGAGTACTACTGTGTATGTAGGGTTAGGTTTGTGCACGTGACTAAATGTGTGTTATCCCCAGTCTGTACAGAGGGATGTGGACTCTATCCGTGAGGAGTACCGGTGTCTGAATGAGCGTGTTCTGAAGGAACTGGAGGACATGACTGACTCTGACAAAGCCACGTTCTTACGCAGCCAACTCAGCCTCATCAACGAGAGACTGGGCAGTCTGGACGGATGCTCCGCCGCCTACCTACAAAGGTAAACATGATGCTGTATGAGTATACACACAGCCTGAAAGGGTTCTCTGCAGAATACCCAGATAAGTATTCCATACACAGACAAACTCATCCATTCACACACTCACCACTCATTGCTCAAATTGAACTAATTTGTTTTGACATATTCTCTCTACATCTCTCTCTCTCTCTATCTCTCTATCTCTCTCTCTCTCTCCCTCCCCCCTTCTTCTCTTCTCTGTCCTCCCTCCATTTCTCCCTCCCAGGCTGCGGGCTCTAAGGGCCCTCCTGCAGAGTGTGTCCAGGGCTGAGGACATCATTAAGGTCCATGAGGCCAGACTGACAGAGAAGGAGACCACATCCCTGGATCCTGCAGAGGTGGAGGACTACAGGTCCACTCTGAAGGTAACAGTTACTGTATGAAACACAAGCCCCAAAACTTTGGGAATGGCAGTGTCTGTCACAGCAATTATTCAGTCTGTCAGTTAGCTGTGTGTGGTGCTTCTCGGCTAAATGGTCTGTTGTGTGCAAATGCTTTGAAGTCAGTGAGTTTTGTGGTTATTACTGTTCCCGATATGTGCTCTGAAAAGGCCAGTCTCAGATGTTCTGTTGTGTGTGTGTGTGTGTGTGTGTTGTATTTGTATTTGTATTTATTAGGGATCCCCATTAGCTGCTGCCAAGGCAGCAGCTACTCTTCCTGGGGTCCAAACATATTAAAGCACTTACATTACATATAAAACAAAATATAAAACAGTACATGACATTACTGCTTGCACTTCATGTGTGTGTAGAGTATGAGGGCAGAGCTGGAGGGGAAGAGGGACGTCCTGGTTTCCATGGAGACGGAGCTCGGGAAGGCGATCCAGTGGAATGGCCAGGTGGGCGGAGCCTTCCACAGGTGTGACGTGGACCTGTCCAGATACAGTGAACAAGTCACCCAGCTGTCTGACCGCTGGAGACGCCTCCAGAGCCAGATAGACTTCCGGTATACAGACCTCTCTATATCTTATCTATGCACACCTTTTTGGTTCCATATCTCACTCAAATACATTTATCTCAGTCTCTAGCTGTATCTGTTTTGTTCTCCCTCTGACTTCTTCTGTTTATAGAGTCCTGTTCTCCACCTTTTGATGTGCTTTACCCCCTTCCTTTACTTTTTGATGACTTAAAACATT